CTGTATATAAACTCAGGATCAGTCTGATAATACATACCTATGAAGATGTTAATCATTGATCTCATAGTAATTCAAAAAATCATTGATCTCATGTTTATCACCAAAGCAAACCATACTTCGATTGAAAAGAGAAACTTTACTCTTTATTATTTACTCAATCAATATATACATTTTAAAAATGTGTATATACAGCCGACTAAGAAGAAATGAGAGAATCTACACCTCACATCTCAGACAACAAATTACTGATTTTCCGAAGCTCCTTAAGTGCTGTTGTAGCTGTGATTTGTCCATGTTCGATCAAACTGGTTTTAGCTAAGTTCCCTATAAATCCTGCCTGAACTGGACCAAGTTCTTGTTGGAAAACCAACTCGATTGCCTGAAATAATAAAAAGGGCTAACATTATCAGAACATTTGAGCTTGTAATGTGGAAAAGAGTTGTCATGGAAATGGCCAAATATCTTTGTTACAATAATCCTATACTTTTTTCTGGCATCTTCAAAACCTTATGTGAAATACTTTTGCCAGTTAAATACCCATTTTACTGTCTTACTATTTATCTTTCGAAAATGATTACTGCTGAAACACGCGATCAATATATGAACTGAGAAGTTACCTGAATGTGTTCGAGCATGGACTGGCCAAGGTTCTTCAGAGTCTTCACCAGATTCTGATCTGAGTCTCCATTGCTGCCAGAAGATAAAGCTTGAGGATGGGACTCAGAATAGCAACCCTTGATACTTTCAACACCGTTGGTTTTTGTGGCATCACGATTAGAAGTCTCCTCACTGGATAAATTGCGTCCAAAATTCCAAAACCACTGGAATATTCCTGGTAAAAGCTTCTGCTCCTTGGTAATTCCCACAGATAAATCTGTGGAATCGTCTTCATTACAAAGAGGTGAAACTACGCTTGTTTGTTGACCTTTATCGCTTTCATCAGGAAACGAATTTGAATCAGTACTGCTATCTGAATCATTTTCAATGTAATTTGAATCTCTGGCAGGACTGGTTGGTTCTGAGGAGACAGATGAATCCTCTTCACTGGATGAATCTACGCTTTTATCGTTTTCATCAGGAAACAAATTTGACCCAGTACTGCTATCTGAATCGTTTTCGATGTAGTTTGAATCTCTGACAATACTGGTTGGCTCTGAGAAGATGGATGAATTCTCCTCACTGGATGCATCTCCACTTATTAAACTGTCTTCATCTGCAGAATGGAAATCCATAATGCCTTCCTCAGTTTCTTGAGAAGCGTCTTCTTCCTTGCTCACAGTCACGGGACAATCAACATCTATCAAAGTACTGCTTGCATTAACTTCCACTAGTTCGGGACTTCGCTGCTGAGATAAATCTTCAAGAAAACTTTGTGTCACTTGCAATGCTGTCTTATGATATGCTAGATCAGTCACTGCTCGGAAAAGTTTTGTAACCTTCAACCACCTCTTTTTCTTCTGTGTAGGAGGACTCTGTATCTCCGAGCCAATTTGCCTTTCTTCTTCTTCGGCTTTGTGTTCTCTCCACTTCTCCTCCCAATAGCTTTCAGGTGCGATAATCAAAGGAGATTTAGGGGAAGTGGAGCCAGATGGAAAACTTTTAGTTCTTGCAGGTATATAACTCCTCTGGTTGAAAACTCCATTAAGTGACAAAGCTGATCGCATCTTAGTATCCAAAACCAAAGCTTGTAACGGCTTGGCCTTCTGTATTATCTTGTTCAAGTCGATGTTCTCCGGGAAATTTAATAGTCTTTGTAGACAGCATGTTGCATTTTCAGTAGAAAGCAAGGAAGATCTTATATATATTATCATTGAAACAACCATTCCCGCGATTAAGGTTCCCCGAGGACAATCAAAGATCCTGAAGCTGTGGATTCTGCTATCCTCATTATTTGTATCCGTTCTTACGTTACTATCCGCTGAAAATATCTCGTCCCACACTAGCAAGAGATCTTGAAGCAAAAATTCTCTTCCAAACAATACCCTCAACCAACGAAGACCAAAGTATTGGGGTTCAACTCCAAGTTCAACTAGATGGCTGTACAAAGATGAATCAACGACAGCCAACAGACGATAAAATGCAGTACACGCTTCAAGAACTGGAGGTAACCCGGTGTGGGATCCGCTGGCTGGAGAGTAACCGAAAAATCCGGCCATGGCGACACAACCATGATTCCCACTCATTAGAGCATCAAACATACAGTAAGCATCATGTTCCATGAATTTTTCAGACAAGACAATTCCAAGCTCACTTTCTGCACCATAAGAATCACACAACATCACTATGGACTGGACTTCAGGATCAAGATCATCTAGATTTTTTGTTTTCTTTGAATATCCCAGGAAATCAGTCTCATCATCCATGGAGTCCAGAAATTTATTGAAATCAAAGGTGTAAGTGATATCTCTTTCTTCAAAAGATAAACTATCAAATCTGTCATTAAAATAATCTTCATAGCTTTTACGCACTTCAGAAAGGCGCAGGATATCAACGTGAAGTACATAAAGGAGGGGTGCCAAAAGCTCATGCATTCCTGCAAAGAAAAATGCAAACAAGCAGATGATACATAAGCAACTGAACTCTTAGAAGGGAGTATTTGCTAAGAGAATTAGCATATTTCAGCAAATCCCATTTCTACAATCATTTTATTAATCATATAGATGTTTTATAGTGTGTAGTTTCTTATTTGTGTCTGCCTTCAATTCTGCAGTCGATTAAGCAAGAAGCAAAAAAGGATGACACAGTCCAAGAAACTGCAGCTCACGGTAACAACAAAAGAAGGTGTGAAACATATACCTTGTCTATACCCATACTCGGGATGTTTAAGGCACCACAACAATAGAATGCGTCTTAGCATGCCTTGGCATCCAGGCGCTTGAAAATAACACCAGTGTTCTGGATATAACCTCGACAAGTCTTGGTCAAGTGTTTTTTCTAATTCAGCGTTACGAAAGAATTGACCCCATGTGCTATCTGCGTAGAAATGATTCAAACATGATTTAATCTAAACATCACCACAGAAGCACAATCATCTCACATTTATAGAAGTAAACAATTGAAAATATAGTCTCAATCCTCCCCTTAAACCTACAAAAAGAAGCTCTACACACATGGGATCTGAAAATTTTCCCTTCTTGGTGTGAACTATATAATTAAGACCTCTGATTAGCTAGCTAAACCGGTATCATATCTGATTACTATAAACAATGAATTGGTAGCAAAACTCTAAAGGCAATGTATATGCTTTGCAGATGAGCTTGTTCGATGAAACTAGATGCTGTGAGCAAAGAATGAAAAGAGAAGCTTACTCGGATTTTGCGACAAGGGGTTATCGATGAAAAGATTAGGGGAATTTCTATCATGTTTGAGTACATGTGGATCCATCAAAAGTCTTCTCCTGAGAAGAGCATATCTACATGACAAACATTGCACAATATACATTATGATATATAGAACCATGAATCGTTAACCAATCATCATTCTCCTCAATTAACTTCCATTTTTAAGACCAAAAATCTAAACCCTTGTTGGATATGAGCTTTAAGAAACAGAGATTCTGGGCAATAGATTAAGGTTACCTGCGACGACAATCGGCGGTTGCTCTGCGAAATTCATCGACTGAAGAAGACCAAGATGGAAGAACTCCGAGATTCACACGCCACCGAACTCCCCTGAGATTGGCGAAACGACGATCCGACGATTCCGGCATAGCTGTCTCAATCTCCGACATAGACATTGAAGCTTAATCTTCTTCTTTGCTTCTCTATCAATTCCCTGAATGAGATAAAATCTCCGACAAGTTGAAGAACTCTCCAGAGAATCAATCACACAGTTCCTCTAAGATCAGTAGTCAAACTATAACAAAACCATAAACAGTGTGTTAATTCTTCGCAAAAATCACAGAGATTCTTCATGAAAGTGCTAATACAGTGGATGATCAAGGAAGCTAGAGAGAAAGATTACGTGAGAGGTTTAGCACAAAACCTCCATTTTCTCATCCTTTTACCTTTGACGAGGGAGAAGAAGACGATGAAGATGAAGATTTAAGGGAGAAGAAAATATGAATTTTGTCTGTTGCT